TATTTTGAAATATTATCACCTTGTGAGAAAGAAAATGTACTCCGTATGCATGGGGAGGAGCTGAAGAAAAGTGCACTCCTAGCTCGTGCATTGGTTCGCACTACATTAGCAAGATGTAAGTTTGAAGGTCTATTACTCAGTTTCTTGATTAAGTTTTTATGTAACTTTTTAACCTTTACAACTGTTGACATAATTTAATTAAGTTTCATCTGAATAGATATATATCCTACTTGTTTGGTGGAGAATCTGCTATCTGTATATTGTTCATATTTCTATCATTTGGTTTTGGTTTTTCTTTTATCACGACATAGGTCATGTATCTAAACAATTTATTTTACTGCTAGACCAGACAAATTGTCAAATTGATCCAAAATCCTTGAAGTTTAGGAAGAACATTTATGGCAAGCCTGAGGTGTGTGCTTTTATTGTTGATTTATTACCTGTAACTTTTGTATGATTGCACTTTCTCTGCTTAATTGACATATATTGTTCATTGAGTTTTCTTGCAAACACTGAAAGTCTTAAGTAGCATATTTGATTAGGTAGACTGGCAATATGCTGATGATTGGAATCTACCACCGCTACATTTTAATATCTCGCACACTTCTTCTTTGATAGCATGTGGAGTAACTGTGGGCTCACCGGTATGCATTTAGTATGGTTATACAAATGCTATTTTTATGTATTTTTGTCATTAAATTCTGTTCCAGTTTTAAGACTTACCATTTTTTCTGCTATAGATTGTTATAGCTTTGAACATATTTAATTTGTGTTTTTGTTGTAGATTGGTATTGATGTGGAAGAGAAGCAAAGGAAGTTAAAGAATGACATTTTAGCTTTTGCACATCGATACTTTTCTCCCCATGAAGTAGAAATGCTGGCTCACATTGTAGATCCTGAGCTACGACGTCATGAGTTTATAAAATTATGGACTCTGAAGGTTAGTCACATTATTGAATTTCACTACTCGGTTAGAAGTCGGTTGAGAAACAAACGTGACTCTTTGTACTATTATCTGGAGAATATTTGCGTATTTTGTTTAGCTTAGTATCAATAATTTTCCTCTTTGAGCAATACTTATTTTGAAGATATTGACTACAGATTTTCTGATTGTTATGCTACTGGAAATGTTTGCAAAACATAATAAATGTAATCTAAACATCTTCTCAACGGATAAGGATGTCTATTAATAAAATGCTTTTCAAAAGATGTCTAAATGTTCTTCTTGTCTTTGTGAGCTCTAGTTTTTTAGTAGTTCTCTGTTTATGTTTGAGTTCTTTATTTTTGTGCAATCAATCAAACATAAAGTACTTAGCATACCTTTCCTTTGACACATGATAATAACTTAATAAGCTTAATCTAATGAGGGAGCATAAGTAGGTTGAGAATTCGACCTATTTTTTTTTTGCTATTCTGCAGCTTCACTTACAGAGACATGTCCCATTTATAGGAGGCATATGTTAAAGCACTTGGAAGGGGCTTCTCAGCGTCACCTTTTAATACTTTCACTATTCGATTAAAAGACCATATGAAAGAAGGCATCCACGTTCTACCTCATGTAATTTCTAAGGTATGTTTCTTAAGAAGCTATGATGTTAATCTCGGATAGCGTTTGTAGCACAAACCCCCCTAAAATGCTATGGTGGATAGCAGGATAGGCGCGATTGCATAGGCTAAAAATTAGGCTACTAAAAAATAGACCAATACACAAAATTAAAGAGATCATCATTCTTAACAGAGTTATCAATCCCAGATAGCGAGCGGAGCAGCCGACCCCAAAAATGGGATAGTGGAATAGCAGATAGTGGGATAGCCGCTACTTGACTATTTTTTGGATTATTTATATGAATAATATATAAAATATAAAAGATATATTTAATGTAAAATTAAACACATAACACAATATCCTTAAAAGAAAAAAAAATAGAGAAACAAAGTAAGTAAAAGTAAAAGAGCAATAAGTTTATTAAAATACTATTACTTAAAGAAAAAAACTCCTCCAGTGTTTTTCTTTTAAGGGTAATTCTGGATTTTTGCTTTCGAAACTGATGAAATCCACTTGGGCCGGGAAGCGCCCGCTCTCACTATCCGCTAAACCTCAAATAGCGGCTGCTATCTGAAACTGGGATGAGAACCGCTCCTCCATAACGGAGGGTCACCGCTCCGGGACGCTATCCCGGGATAGCGCCACTATCGGCTGCTATCGATAACTCTGATTCTTAATAGTCAAGGAACCTAAAGTATAGAGTAATTGAACTTAAGAGAGGAAGAATAAAACATAACTGAACTAGAAGTAGGAAGAAGAGTGGGTCGATCATTTGCGAGCAAATAGCTATAGCAGTTTGCAGACGCTACAACCGCTATTGTTGGCAGTGGCTCACGGAACAATAGCATTGCGTCAAACCCTACCACCGCTACGCTATTCTGCCTAGCAGTGAGTAGTTTGTTCGATATTATCAATGTTAAAAAACCGAACTGGAAATCAACTGGCAGACCTCTGGGTCATAATACTTCAACCGTTACGGGGAAGAAGTCGTGGTAAAAGCAGGCTTTAAGGTTCAAGGGTTGAAAACTGTTCGCTTTGGTTTTTGAAACACTTAATATTATATTATATGTTGGATAACTGCTGGAGTCAACTACTAGAGTCAACTAACTGTCATACGGGAACGCCCTGCTGATATTCGGCCAGACCAGAAATTACGTTAGTATTTAGTATTGACATGTTCGCATGTGAGTTAGTGATTTTTTCTGCTTCAACAATTTATGAAGCAATTTATTTATCTGACAGGAAGATGAAATTTCTGCTGAGCTTTCTAGTGACCTTGAGAATCTCACAAGCAATTGGCATTTTGTGCTTCTAGAGTTACTTGGTTCTCATTATGCTGCCGTTTGCATAGAAAAGGACAACACAAATGAAGGTAGCTATTAAATCTTTTGTTATGATGAGCATGTTGTAGAAATTGCACCTGATGCCACATATTTAACTATTTTCCGTTGTAACCATTGTGTTGTGGTCATTTGTAGATCCAAGAGTTGTATGAGTAGCATTATTGTAACTAGTATTTTGAGCTGTTTTGAGTTGCTGGTAGTAATTGCTAATGTTTGTGGTTTGCAGACAAAGGGAGCATTCCAATAAATATGACGATACGCAAAACAATTCCATTTGTTGAAGATGAATGTATTTCTGGATCCGATACTGTGGCAGTGATTGGGGGCTTGAGTAAACTGCTAGTGGAATAGTGATTCTATAATAAAATAGAAGTTTGCCAACAGCGTTAACTTTTAGAATTAATGTTCTAATTTATTTTAGAGCTCAATTTTTCTTGTTGCCTGGAAAGGCTCTGAGATGCTATCTACTGAAAAATATGGTGAAAATTGATTCATGTAGTCAATTCCATTTATAGTTGTTGAAAAATTATGCTCCCTGCCCCTTCTATAATGAAAGAATTTCATAAACATTCATCATTCTTATGTAACTTTAAAATGTTGCAAATCAAACCGTTTTTCTGAAGTTGATTTATCTTGTGATTATTATCATTCTCTATTGATGTGATAACACAAAAAGTGGATAAGGTTGAAGGCCACAAAGTGACAAATTAGTTCATCTACTATCCAAGAAAAGCAATCGCATCCACTTAAATATGGTTTCTAATTTCATTTTTGTTCTTTATTGATTTATATGTTCTTCCAATCCGTATATTCATTCCTTTCTCATAACACGCTAGAAGAGTTATTAGAACAAGTTCAGTCCTTGACAAACTTTATAAAAAAGACCTAAGATCTTTAAGTTTAAATCAAATACAAGGACTAAATACATGATTTTTTTTTACAATTTAAATACATGAATCTTAAAATCTGTTTGATAAAATGAAAGTATTTCTTTTTCTCAACATAAAAGTTCAGCTAGTTAGAAATGGCATTTAACACAACATTCATGATCCTCGTCTCAATGGATTAACAAATAAGAGAAATTAGAACGAGATGCCCAAGTTGACTTCAAACATGTAATTTCACGTAAAAACATTTTTATACTAATAATGGATGAAAAAATCTATAGACCAAAAATTAACTTTCAAAGCCTATAATACTTGCAATAAATTGGTATATGCTCCTCTGCAAAATTTTCACTTGCAATGAAAATTTGTCCCTTCTCAATCCTTGATGTCCAACCATAAGAAACGGGTAATACTTTTGGTTCCTAACTTCCTATATCTATCACTTGGATTAAATATGTATGAAAAAGTCATAAAATGGCTAAAGAAAAATTAGTCACTGCTGACTGAAAAATTAGCATGCGGACAACTATAACCGGCAAGCTTACCAAAGCTGATTACTTCCCTTTTTGTGCCATGATAGACTTGGTACTACTACTACTAAGCAGTCGTAAGTCTCATCTATAAACTGAAAACAGCCGGTTGTTTTGTTTCAAAATCAATTGGTTTGATTAAATTATTTGTGTGATGAAGAAAATCAGAAGAAATATTCCAGGTACCAACACAATTAAGGAGGTTGGGCCAGTGACTTGGGCAACTTGTGCATTGTATGGGAAGGGAAGAAAGGTTTCTCACCCTCTCCTTTGGAAGATACTTACAAAAGAATGATTTGGATGGGAATGAACACTAATGAGAATGAATTTTCTCCCTCAAGAGTTTTCACAAACTGAATCCTGTTTTTCTAGAGTATAATAATTCATAACCAACTCTCTACAGACACAGCATTGTTGCACTATATTCTATGTCAGTAAAAGATGAATGGCATCCATACACCTCTCAGCAAAAATTGCAAATCCTGAGTTATACTTGCACTTTTCCTTTCCCATGTTGAGAGTGTTCAACATTTTTCGCTAAAGGGCTGAGTTATTTATATTCTTCTCAACATATCCCCTTTGAGTCCTCCTCACTTGTCAACAGCTACAATCAACTATGTGGGTGGGGTGACACATCATTGTTGTCCATCAAAATATAAATCAGAGTTTCATAGTGTGTCCTGCCACAATGATTTTACCAATAGTCCTTGCAAGAACAGACTCCATTCTTGAAACGGTGAAAGCGAGTGGTATCTCTAACAATAAATTGACGATTGACAATCTTACTAACCAACTTAAAAAACACATGACAATCTACACACACTCTCAGGTTCTTCATGACAGTAATATCTGTTCCGGGCTTAGTGTTCAAAAGTCCAAAAGCAAGTGCTAATTTTTCACTGTGCACCCCAGCACCAATTAACGGTTCTTCACTCTTTCTCTGACACTTGTGATCCGGTTGATGAATCTCCTTCACAAGACTTTCCAATTCATCCAGCATTCTATATATTTCCTTAATCTGGGAATGACTCTTATCTCCAGAGTAAAAAAGATGCATTTTTCCTTTATATTCCACGTAGCTACAACCGGGATCCTTTCTAAGCTTTCGATCCCTCATCATTACTCTAACTTTCAAAACCCCATCTAAGTTCTTAGCATCAGAGTACACATTTGACAGCAAAACATAGTAACCTATATTTGCAGGTTCAAGCTCAATGACATGTTGAAAAGCCACTTCTGCTAGTTCTACATTTCTATGAATCTTGCAAGCACCAAGAAGTGCTCCCCAAACAGCACCATCCGGTTTCACCTTCATCGAATCTATGAGATCCATTGCTTCCTTCAATCTACCAGCCCTGCCCAAAAGATCAACCAAGCAAGAATAATGCTCAGGACCAGGCTGCAAACCATACTTCCCCACCATCTCATCAAAATACTTCAATCCTTTCTCAGTTAATCCAGCATGACTACAAGCCGAAAGAACGCTTACGAAAACCGTTCTATCAGGCCTCACACCTGACCTAACCATTGCATCGAAAAGCTCCACTGCAATCTCACCTTCTCCGTGAATCCCATACCCGCCAATAATAGCAGTCCAAGACACAACACTCTTGTTCCTCTCATCCATACAATCAAAAACCTCACGAGCACGAACCAAATTCCCACACCGAGCATACATGTTAATCAACGCATTCGTTAAAAAAGAATTCGAGCGAAATCCAAGTTGCTCGATTTTCCTTTCCACCTCACGACCAATTCCTTGTGCACCAAGGTTCGCACAAGAACACAAAACACCAAGAAGCGTAACAGGATCAGGATTCACCCCACCCTTCTTCATCTCAAAATAAAGCTCCAAAACACTTCGAGCATGACCGTTTTGCGCGTAGCCAGAAATCATAGCATTCCACGTTATCAAATCCTTCACAGGAATTTCATCAAATAGTTGGCGCGCTTGTTCCACTTCGCCACACTTTACATACATTGTCAGAAAACTATTAGCAACAGATAAATCAGACTCAAAACCGAACTTAAAACCACAAGCGTGTAAGCACATGCCAAGTGTTAAGTGACTAGGGAGCGTGAAACCTGAAACTAAACCGAGCATTGTAACGGAATTAACAGAAAAGCTAACTTCGCGCCGCATTTTGCGGAAGAGGGTAACGGCTTCGAACATCATGGAGTTAGAAGAATATCCGGAAACCATGGCGTTGTAAGAGATGGTAAGGTTTATGGATTCTTCGTCGAAGACTTTGCGAGCGAGGTGAGGGAGGGATGATTTGGAGTACATGTTGATGAGAGAAGACCGGGTGTACGGGTCGGGTTGTGAGCCGGTTTTGATGACGTGGGAGTGGAGCTGGGATCCGGTGAGGGGGAGAGAGAGGAGGGCGCAGGATTTGAGGAGGACGGGGAAGGTGAATGTGTTGGGGAAGAAGGATGAACGGAGCATGTGACGGTATACGGTTAGTGCTTCTTGGTATTTTTTTTGCTTTGATAGTTCTCTTAGGTAACAGTTCCATGGCGTCGTTGGGTTGTGTTTTGACTCGCCGGTGTCTGGTGGCGGCACTGTGAAGTGACGGCGGTGATCAGTGCTCATATGTCCAGGTTAACTGTTAGACAACCCATTCAGTTCAGGTTCATCTGCAGTTTCTTAACATCTGATTGCTCCCCCATTTTAATATAAGCTTTTTTTCACAAAGATTAAAGAATATGATAATGTTGTCTAAGATATGATAATGTTGTCTAAGATAGTCAATCCAATCCATATTATAAACAAATTTTATTTTTTAATACATTAAATAATTAATAATTATGTATTAATTATTTAATATATTTAAAAAATAAAATTTATTTATAATATGAAACGGAGGAAGTATTATACTTTTATTAAATTAGTTTTATTAAAATTTTGAAAGTAATGTATATAATAATAATTAAATGATATAATTGAAAAAATTATAATTATTGCTATTTTAAAAAGTGAAAATAAGAGTCATTTTGAAATAAATTTTATTTTGCTAAAACGACAGTGGTTTTGAAAAGATGGAGTATTATTTTAATTGGATTGTTTATAGTTACACCTTGTTACACTGAATTTTTCGACTTGACTATAAATGACAAGTACTCATGAGATTAGTCATAGATATGTCACGTGGAAGATCAGAAAGAGAGTGAATCCACATGATCAATATGACTCAAGGTCGGAATTCACATAGGGTGATGCCGGTCGAAAGGTGGCATGGTCGAAGGATGTAGTGAAGAACTTTGAGACTTAGTGAAATTGAATAATATGCTATGATGGCTAAGGTTGGAGTTCATCACTATAATGGAAGTAATATCGACTCAGCTACCAGACGTGGAGTCCATTATTATAATGGAAACAATGTTGACATATATGCTACATGTGGATGTCATCACTACAATGGACAATCTTATGGGGCATGCTAGCTTGACATGGTCGACGTCGAAGGCCTTTGTCGCAACTGCGAAAAGGACTGGCGGAAACAAACAGAAAAGTCGTCACCGAACGTTATTTATCCCAAAGAGAAGGAAGGGAAACGATCGAAGAAAACCTAAAAGAAAAGAGAAGACAAGGTCATCCCAATCAAATCTTGGGTTCAGGAGTCAATTACGCAAGGGGAAGGTATGAGCACCCCTCACGTCCGTTGTACTCAACGGGATCCACGCTTGTTGTCTAATCAAAGGGTGTGTTATCTAAAAGCTATTGCTAAATGGAAACAGAAATAAAGGAAAAGAAAGAGAAAGAGACTCGATAGGACATCGCCGCCCTATGCTTGCGTATTCCCTCGTGCAATGGAAAAGTCAGAGTCAACGTAGTTCGGAAAACTACGGGTGAAGGGGGAAAGATTGCTCGCCAAGACATAGCCGTCTTATGCCTACATATCCTTATCTGGTATGAGAAATCAGGGCAAACGTGGTTCGGGTAATGACGAAACCACAGGTTGGTTAAGTGTTTTTTATGAGCAACATTAAATTCTCATTTCAGTAGTTAGGGATGCATGTTTGTGGTAGAATGTAAAAGTAACGTACTCTTTCTAAAAATGAGTTTGGAACATAAATCCCGAAGAATAAAAAGGTTTAAATTTGATTTGAGAGTTGTAGTGAAGTGAATTAAATTTGTTTGAGACTCACGTTGCACTAAAGACTATGATAAAGGAGCGAATGTGTCGCATATCGCCCAAGGACATACACTAAACACTCTAGACAAGTGAGAAGAAACTTTCACTCATCATTTCCCAAATGCTTAAGGCTCGTGACACATAACGTTCATCATTCTTTATTAAATGTCTTAGAGTTATTTGAGATGAGAAGAGAGACGCACAGAAGGTCTAAGGAAAACTCGATCCTAACTTTGTCATGCAAAGTGGTCCTAAGGTCGAGATGCGAAAGAAGATTTTATCCTAATGTTAGCATGCAAAAGATGGACCTAAGGTTGAGGTTAAAAGGGACTAGCCTAATGTTATCATGCATGGATTAAACTTCTAATGTCTATCCTACTCCAAGCTTAATCGAAAATTAAGTTGGCCTAGGAGGCCTTAAGGGAGCATGCAAAGGAAAGGCAAAAAGCAAGAAAACAAACCCAAAACAGTAGTTACAACAACGCTTCCTGCACAAAACAACAATAAAATCCAGCATGGTGGCACAACAACATACAACAGCTACTAGTCCAGCACAAAAGTAGGTGCAAAAGGCAGGCAGGCAGGCAGCAAGCAAAGACAACATGCAAAGTTCAGAATAAGACAGCTGTGAAAGCAAGGCAACAAACATGTTTCAATGCAATTAACATGAGCAAATACCAATCATGAACAAGAATCATGCAAGGATGGAAATGCATCAACAATCAAACACAAATGTTCAACAATATTGCCTCATCAAGAATCAACGAGATCAAACATGCTTTTCACATCAATCACACCACTCAATCAGTCATGCGATAAGTGGAATCGGAAGCAAATATAAACATGTATCACAAGTCCAGCCAGATAATCATCAACAATTAATCATTAACATGATACAAGCAAGCAAAGCATATGATCATAACATCAATCAAGCAACATGAACATGTTAAGCATTCAAACATAAACCCGAAAGTCATGCGTCGAAGAATCCAAGTCAAACATTCAAGCCTGATGAAATAGGTCAAAAACAGTCCATACAAATGCATCATATCAATCCATGAAGTTTAAGGATGAAAAGGAACCCAAACAAGCAAGAAAATGCAAGAAAAAGGCAATATGTCCCAGTGGTAATCGATTACCATGATCAGGTAATCGATTACCCCTTTGAAAAATGACCAGAAACATGAAAAATAGGCAGGGTAATCGATTACCCATATATGGTAATCGATTACCACTGAGACAGTGGCAGAAAATCAACTTCCAAAAGCACTTTTCAACAGCAAACAACTTATCTGATTATCCAAATGAATAAGCAATCAATTGTGCACGAAAATCATGTCAAATCACAGCAATCAAACACCAATTGCATCAAACAAATAGCAAGATAAAATATCAAAGCAAAATAAATGGATCAAAATGCAACAAAAGTCATGGATCTACATTGTAACATGCAAGATTAAGCACTATCAAAGCTAGATCTAGAAATTACTAACCAACAAAGCTGAGAATTGCTTTGGTAAGTGTTGTTAAGCTGAAATTAATAGATCCAAGCAAGAAATCCAAGGATCTATGAAGCTTGAGCAAGAAAACTTGAAGATCCAGGCAAGAGTCCACAAATAAGCAAAAACTCTTCCAAAAGTGATTCCAACACCTTAATTCAAGATCCAAATGAATTGTAGAATCAGAATAGAACCAAGGATGAAGATGCAATGAAGGTTTAGCTCAAAGGTTTACAAATTGTGATGCATAATTTATGAAGCTTTTTTATTATGATTTGGTGGAAGGTTGAAGATGAAGGTTGAGAATGAAAAAAAAGTGAGAGAGAATTGAGAGCAAATTCTGAAAATTTTGAGTAAATGAGTGTGAATTCTTGTGTGGTTTGGAGTAGATTTGATTAAATAACCCTTAGGTTAGGAATAAAAATGTGGCTTGGAGTGTGGATTAGTGTTTGGAATGGAAATTAGGAGTGGAATTAGGAATGGAATGTTTGAATTTGGAAGGGAAATGATGAAAATGAATCAATTCTAGATCCTTCCATGTGAAATCAAGGGTTGAAAATGTTTCGAAATTCTGCAGTGCTGAAATTTGAACCACTTTTGCTAAATTTGCCTGAGGTAATCGATTACCCATATGTGGTAACCGATTACCACATTCAAAAATTTCCAAATTTGGCGCCATGTGGAGGAAAACTTGCGTAATCACCCGTTGTCATTTGTTTTGAACCTTGTTAAACCTCTGAAACTTGTTCTTTGGTATTACGACTGTGAAAATGCCTGAGATAACCTGTGACCTGTCTCCTGTGCTGAAAATAACCTGCTAAATAAAATAAAATTGTCCACTCAATTTCTGGGTAAAATAAATATCGACGCCTCTGTTTCACTGTTTAAACTCTTGCAATAAAAGGAAACCTTGATCCACAAAAACACCTTGATCCCATGTCTCGAGAGCCAATGCCATGATATGCAAAAAAATGTGAAATGAATAAAACACAAGTCAGTTACGATTAAAACGAAAGGGCAAATTTTGAGGTGCTACAACTGCCCCTATTCAATCAACTTGAACCTGAAAGGATGATAGCAATGACTTTCAGACATTCAAGGTACATGGAGATTGAATACCAAGAGAACTCAGAAATTTGCAGTCTGTAGGGATGTATGTAATTGGAGCCCAATCACACGTCTTCAAATGAATTCAACAGAAAGAAAACATGCCCAAAGGAAGAACAGTGAACCCCAAAACCACACCGTCAAAGGGATTTGACGGAAATAACACCTATCTGGAGAACCACATCGTCGAACAGATTTGACGGAAAGAAAAATTGTTCGAAGAATCACATCGTCAAATGGATTTGACGGAAAGAAAACATATCCAAAGAATCAAATCTTCAAAGGGATTTGACGAAAAGAAAACATATCTAAAGAATCACATCGTCAAAGGGATTTGACGGAAAGAGAGTCTGTCTAAAGAATCACATTGTCAAAGGGGTTTGACGGGAAGAAAGCCTGTCTGAAGAAACACATCGTCAAAAGGATTTGACGGAAAGAAAACATATCCAAAGAACTACATCGTCAAAGGGATTTGACAAAAAGAAAGCATGTTCAAAGAATCACATCGTCAAAGGAACTTGAAGGCAAGAAAACATATCCAAAGAATTACATCGTTAAAGGGATTTGACGGAAAGAAAGCCTGTTCAAAAAAACACATCGTCAAAAGGATTTGACGGGAAGAAAACATATTTAAAGAATCACATCGTCAAATGGATTTGACGAAAAGAAAGCATGTCCAAAGAAACACATCGTCAAAGGGATTTGACGGAAAGAAAACATATCCAAAGAACCACGTCATCAAAGGGATTTGACGGAAAGAAAGTTTGTCCGAAGAATCACATTGTCAAAGGGATTTGACGGAAAGAAAACCGATCTATTAAATGTCTATTGGGGATAGGTCATTGTCTTGA